TAATAATAATATTATTAGAGGCCATCCAGCAGGACACACCAAGGACTAATTCGTCAGTGTTTCTAACTGACCTTTAACTCTGCAGTGTTGGTTCTCAGAGACGCCTGGTGCGTGCCCCGTCACCATACCCACACTCATGGCATGCCCATTTTCCCGTATACTGGTACAGAGACACTAGGCAGACCAGCTTCATATTGTTCCAGACCATGGAGCTGAGCTCTTCTCCAGGCTGAGGGACTGATCACCTTGTTCCAGACCATGGTACTGAACTCTTCTCCAGGCTGAGGGACTGATCACCTTGTTCCAGACCATGGTACTGAACTCTTCTCCAGGCTGAGGGACTGATCACCTTGTTCCAGACCATGGTGCTGAACGCTTCTCCAGACTGAGGGACTGACAACCTTGTTCCAGACCATGGTGCTGAACTCTTCTCCAGGCTGAGGGACTGATCACCTTGTTCCAGACCATGGTACTGAACTCTTCTCCAGGCTGAGGGACTGATCACCTTGTTCCAGACCATGGTACTGAACTCTTCTCCAGGCTGAGGGACTGATCACCTTGTTCCAGACCATGGTACTGAACTCTTCTCCAGGCTGAGGAACTGACCACCTTGTTCCAGACCATGGTGCTGGACTCTTCTCCAGACTGAGGGACTGACCACCTTGTTCCAGACCATGGAGCTGAACTCTTCTCCAGGCTGAGGAACTGACCACCTTGTTCCAGACCATGGAGCTGAACTCTTCTCCAGGCTGAGGGACTGACAACCTTGTTCCAGACCATGGAGCTGAACTCTTCTCCAGGCTGAGGGACTGACCACCTTGTTCCAGACCATGGAGCTGAACTCTTCTCCAGGCTGAGGGACTGACAACCTTGTTCCAGACCATGGAGCTGAACTCTTCTCCAGGCTGAGGGACTGACCACCTTGTTCCAGACCATGGTGCTGAACTCTTTCCAGGCTGAGGGACTGACAACCTTGTTCCAGACCATGGAGCTGAACTCTTCTCCAGCTGAGGGACTGACAACCTTGTTCCAGACCATGGTGCTGAACTCTTCTCCAGGCTGAGGGACTGACCACCTTGTTCCAGACCATGGTGATGAACTCTTCTCCAGGCTGAGGGACTGACCACCTTGTTCCAGACCATGGTGCTGGACTCTTCTTCAGGCTGAGGGACTGACCACCTTGTTCCAGACCATGGTGCTGAACTCTTCTCCAGGCTGAGGGACTGACAACCTTGTTCCAGACCATGGTGCTGAACTCTTCTCCAGGCTGAGGGACTGACCACCTTGTTCCAGACCATGGTGCTGAACTCTTCTCCAGGCTGAGGGACTGACCACCTTGTTCCAGACCATGGAGCTGAACTCTTCTCCAGGCTGAGAGACTGACCACCTTGTTCCAGACCATGGAGCTGAACTCTTCTCCAGGCTGAGGGACTGACCACCTTGTTCCAGACCATGGAGCTGAACGCTTCTCCAGGCTGAGAGACTGGCCACCTTGTTCCAGACCATGGAGCTGAACTCTTCTCCAGGCTAAGGGACTGACCACCTCAAATACTTTTTCTCCAAGGTTGATGGACTGATGACGTCTTTATTTCATTACTACTACTCCCTTTGTATTTGACTTTAGAAGCCTACTGTGCAGGCGACACGTTTCTTCAATAAATATAATTGTTGACTTGTCGATATTTTATACAACTGTCAACAAGAGGCAGACGAGGTCTTTATCTTGACGATGTTTCGCTCAGTAGTAAGGAACATGTCACACATGCTTTCATACATGCTCGTGGGCACCACCTGCCACACTATACCCACACACTGCTCTTGTGGCATGCACCAATATGGTCGGGAACATTGCGCATGCCCTCGGGTGATCACGCCTGTACCTACCAGGGTGGGGCTGGGTGAGGAGTGGCAGGCATGGGTGGGGAGAAGCAAGGTAGGGCGGGGAGAGGCACGGTGAGAGAGGGCACAGCTGGGCAGTCATATCTCTGCCTCCTTGCACAACAATTTGTATCAAGGTGAGTAGTGAGTGCCCTAGTGATTAGTGGGGTATCAAGGTGAGTAGTGAGTGCCCTAGTGATTAGTGGGGTATCAAGGTGAGTAGTGAGTGCCCTAGTGATTAGTGGGGTATCAAGGTGAGTAGTGAGTGCCCTAGTGATTAGTGGGGTATCAAGGTGAGTAGTGAGTGCCCTAGTGAGTAGTGGGGTATCAAGGTGAGTAGTGAGTGCCCTAGTGAGTAGTGGGGTATCAAGGTGAGTAGTGAGTGCCCTAGTGAGTAGTGGGGTATCAAGGTGAGTAGTGAGTGCCCTAGTGAGTAGTGGGGTATCAAGGTGAGTAGTGAGTGCCCTAGTGAGTAGTGGGGTATCAAGGTGAGTAGTGAGTGCCCTAGTGATTAGTGGGGTATCAAGGTGAGTAGTGAGTGCCCTAGTGATTAGTGGGGTATCAAGGTGAGTAGTGAGTGCCCTAGTGATTAGTGGGGTATCAAGTGAGTAGTGAGTGCCCTATTGAGTAGTGGGGTATCAAGGTGAGTAGTGAGTGCCTTAGTGAGTAGTGGGGTATCAGGGTGAGTAGTGAGTGCCTTAGTGAGTAGTGGGGTATCAAGGTGAGTAGTGAGTGCCCTAGTGATTAGTGGGGTATAAAGGTGAGTAGTGAGTGCCCTAGTGAGTAGTGGGGGTATCAAGGTGAGTACTGAGTGCCCTAGTGAGTAGTGGGTATCAAGGTAAGTAGTGAGTGTCCTATTGAGTAGTAGGGTATCCAGGGGAGTAGTGAGTGTCCTAGTGAGTACTGGGGTATCAAGGTGAGTAGTGAGTGTCCTAGTTAGTAGTGGGGGTATCAAGGTGAGTAGTGAGTACTGGGGTATCAAGGTGAGTAATGAGTAGTGTGGTATCAAGGTGAGTAGTATGGTATCAAGGTGATTAGTGAGTAGTGGGGTATCAAGGTGAGTAGTGAGTGTCCTAGTGAGTAGTGGGGTATCAAGGTTAGTGAGTAGTGGGGTATCAAGGTGAGTACTGAGTAGTGGGTTATCAAGGTGAGTAGTGAGTGTCCTAGTGAGTAGTGGGGTATCAAGGTGAGTAGTGAGTGCCCTAGTGAGTAGTGGGGTATCAAGGTGAGTAGTGAGTAATGGGGTATCAAGGTGAGTAGTGGGGTATCAAGGTGAGTAATGAGTAGTGGGGTATCAAGGTGAGTAGTGAGTACTGGGGTATCAAGGTGAGTAGTGAGTGCCCTAGTGAGTAGTGGGATATCAAGGTAAGTAGTGAGTGTCCTAGCGAGTAGTGGGGTATCAAGGTGAGTAGTGAGTACTGGGGTATCAAGGTGAGTAGTGAGTACTGGGGTATCAAGGTGAGTAGTGAGTACTGGGGTATCAAGGTGAGTAGTGAGTACTGGGGTATCAAGGTGAGTAGTGAGTACTGGGGTATCAAGGTGAGTAGTTGAGTACTGGGGTATCAAGGTGAGTAGTGAGTACTGGGGTATCAAGGTGAGTAGTGAGTATCTGGGGTATCAAGGTGAGTAGTGAGTACTGGGGTATCAAGGTGAGTAGTGAGTACTGGGGTTATCAAGGTGATTTAGTGAGTACTGGGGTATCAAGGTGAGTAGTGAGTACTGGGGTATCAAGGTGAGTAGTGAGTACTGGGGTATCAAGGTGAGTAGTGAGTACTGGGGTATCAAGGTGAGTAGTGAGTACTGGGGTATCAAGGTGAGTAGTGAGTACTGGGTATCAAGGTGAGTAGTGAGTACTGGGGTATCAAGGTGAGTAGTGAGTACTGGGGTATCAAGGTGAGTAGTGAGTGTCTTAGTGAGTAGTGAGGGCATCAATGTGAGTTTAGGGTTTTCTAAGGGCCTCGGGAAGCAGTCTGTCTGACCTCAGAATCAATCCAGCTATTGGTCCGGTAGTGACTGGCGCGTCAGCTGCTACTTTATTTATCAATATATTATTATTGATAATAATAATAATTATAATAATTTTTAACACTGGCCGTCTCCCACTGAGGCAGAGTGACCCAGAAGAGAAGAACCACCTTCACCATCGCTTAGTCTATCACTGTCTTGCCAGAGGAGCGTCCATACAACAGTTTAGATGTCCCTGCAGGACTCAAGTCAGGCTAACTGGTGTTCCCGAATGCCTTGGTCACACTCCAACAGCACATCAAGTCATAAAAACCCACTTGCTTCCACTCACTCCAATCCAATACTTGCTTGCTGGGTTATTGTCTTTTAGCAAATTTAATTACTGAGTGTAAATTGTATTGAAGGCTTGATCCTCCGTCCGCTAATACAGCTATTTTATCAGCCAATGTTGGCGACGCAATCAAGTCCGATCCAAGGAAGGGGAGTGTTTAGCCATTGGTCAGTAGATATTCTTTCCTACTGATGCTTGTGAAGGTTCTAAATCCAAGGAATTAGAGCTACTCTTTCCTATCCTCGAATCAAACGTGATTAGCTTCCTAACACAATGCTAGTGTTGCAAGTACTGTTGCTAGCACAATGGTAGTGTTGCAGGTACTGTTGCTAGCACAATGGTAGTGTTGCAGGTACTGTGCTAGCACAAATGGTAGTGTTGCAGGTACTGTTGCTAGCACAATGGTAGTGTTGCAGGTACTGTTGCTAGCACAATGGTAGTGTTGCAGGTACTGTTGCTAGCACAATGTTAGTTTTGCAGGTACTGTTGCTAACACAATGTTAGTGTTGCAGGTACTGTTGCTAACAATGTTAAGTGTTGCAGGTACTGTTGCTAACACAATGTTAGTGTTGCAGGTACTGTTGCTAACACAATGTTAGTGTTGCAGGTACTGTTGCTAGCACAATGTTAGTGTTGCAGGTACTGTTGCTAGCACAATGTTAGTGTTGCAGGTACTGTTGCTAACACAATGTTAGTGTTGCAGGTACTGTTGCTAACACAATGCTAGTGTTGCAGGTACTGTTGCTAACACAATTCTAGTGTTGCAGGTGGTATAGTTATTGTGCTACAAGTGTTGTGGTTAACGCAATGTTTGTTTGTGTTACAGGTGGTGGTGGTTGTGGCAGTCGTGGCGTGCGTACTGCGCACCCCCGAGGCCAGACCATCACAAGCGTCAAGTATCTCAGCAGCGCCTGCAAGAAGCACAGTCCACCTGAGGAAGCTCTCACAGCAGACACAGCATGATCTCAACAGAGTATGGGACACACAGCTAGAGAAACACCGCAGCAAGAATCACCCTCAGAACGAGGCTGTCACCTTCATGGAGCGTCCGGGAGATGGGAAATATGTCTTTGGTTACGATCTCCCTTCCGACGGTCGCTCGCACATGGAGGCTTCCGACGGTAAGGGTCAGACTATCGGAAAGTATTCTTATACCGACCCCAGCGGTAAAAACGTGCAGGTTCACTACGTTTCCGGCAAGGAAGGCTTCAGAGTGATCAGTAATAACCTCCCCGAAGAAACGGAAGAGGTTAAGAAAGCCAAGAATGATTTCTTCAAGCTATATGAAGAGAGACAAGCTAGTCTGCCTAAAACTCACGACTCTGCCCCTGCTGCTGTTCCAACCCCTGCCTCTGCCTCAGTCCCTGCCCCTGCAACCAGGGGTCAAAGACCTGCTGTTCCAACCCCTGCCTCTGCCTCAGTCCCTGGCCCTGCAACCAGGGGTCAAAGACCTGCTGTGTCCAAACAGGGTGAGACTGAGAGAGGTTTCGGAGAGGGTGACGGAGTAGGTAATGAGGGAGAGGAGGAAGAGCAGGGAGGTGAGGGAGGGGGAGGTGAGGCAGAAGAGAGAGGTGAGGAGGAAGAAGGTGAGGAGGAAGAGGAAGGTGAGGAGGAAGAGGAAGGTGAGGAGGAAGAGGGAGGTGAGGAGGAAGAGGAAGGGGAGGAAGAAGAGGGAGGTGAGGAGGAAGAGGGAGGGGAGGAAGAGGAAGAAGAGGAAGAGGAGGAGGAAGAAGAAGAGGAGGAGGAAGAAGAGGAGGAGGAGGAAGAGGAGGAAGAGGAAGAGGAGGAAAGAGGAAGAGGGAAGAGGAGGAAGAAGAGGAAGAGGAAGAGGAAGAGGAAGAGGAAGAGGAAGAGGAAGAAGAGAAGGAGGAGGAGGAGGAGGAGGAGGAATCAGAAGAAGAATATGAGGATGAGGAATACTCAGAAGAGGAGGATGATTCAGAGGAAGACGAAGAAGACAACTCCTCTGAAGAGGACAACAACGGCGTCAGCAGTGAAGAGGAGAGCAGTGAAGAATCAGACGAGGGAGAAGAAGAATCAGAAGAATCAGACGAAGACGAGGACTCGTCATCATCGTCTGAGGAGGACGAGTGGGGTGAAGAGATGAGCGAAGAATCACTACTCTCCAGGTTCAGCAATGACTTCGGCAAACGACTTTACAAGAGCACTGTCCACTACCCTGGCACTGCTGGCACTCAGTCAACAACCTCCTGATCCTCACACTACTGAAGCCACTTTCTGCACTCTAATGCTCATTATTTGTACAACTACGTGTGGCAGGAGTCGACAAAATTATTGATTCTGTGTCAGGTTGGGATTTTATTGTACCAATGTCTATTGTGTGTGTGTAATTTCAGTTTTATTATGTAGTCCAAACCCATGCTGTGGACGGTAGTCGAAAGATTACAAAAACCACGTAAAAAGTCCAGGGATTAGGTGTGTACATATGTCTGTATTTGGTTACATATTTGTAGCTACAAAAGCAAAACTATGCTGGTGATGTCCCATCTTTCCACAGTTTATCACTTTAAGTTGTGTGTGTGTGTGTGTGTGTGTGTACAGTGTGCTGGCGAGGTAAGCATACTTAATGAACTTAACTCACCTTTTAAAAGATACTTATTTATCAAAGACAACTTTTCACAGAAAGCTTTCTCTATAAATACATTTCCTATGCTTGCCTGCTAGAATTTATATACTTGTAAGTTATGGGGATACAAACTCCTTTTGTTTACTTGGGTAGACGCCACAGTAACTCTTTCCAGTGTCTGAAAGTAGAATAATTGATCTACAGCACTGATGACACAAATGTTATAGAGAATGACAATACCATGACAAACAATTCACAAGCAACCCACAATACCATGACAGAAACAATTCACAAGCAACCCACAATACCATGACAGAAACAATTCACAAGCAACCCACAATACCATGACAGAAACAATTCACAAGCAACCCACAATACCATGACTGAAACAATTCACAAGCAACCCACAATACCATGACTGAAACAATTCACAAGCAACCCACAATACCATGACAGAAACAATTCACAAGCAACCCACAATACCATGACTGAAACAATTCACAAGCAACCCACAATACCATGACTGACAAGAACAATTCCACAAGCAACCCACAATACCATGACAGAACAATTCACAAGCAACCCACAATACATGACAAAAAATTCACAAGCAACCCACAATACCGTGACGAAACAATTCACAAGCAACCCACAATACTGACGAAACAATTCACAACAACCCACAATACCATGACAGAAACAATTCACAAGCAACCCACAATACCATGACTGAAACAATTCACAACCCAAAAATAGGATATGATATTTCCAAAAAATTTTAAGTTGGAAATATTCAATAAAACAACAAAACTGAGTTTTATTTTAAAACCAAAATATCTTAATTTTAGTGGAAAATCATAAATTTCCTAATGAATGCTTATTTGACGTTTCGGTCCACTCACGACAGATCGAAACAACGTGTAGGTGCCAGTTGTTATACGTGCGTTAGTTGTGAACGTCACATCAGTCAGCTCACATGAAACAATATATATATAATATATATATATATATATATATATATATATATATATATATATATAATAATATATAATATATATATATATATATATATATATATATATATATATATATATATATATATATATATTTTATATATATATAATAAATATATACATTATATATAATAAGATCACAGTAAAAATGTGCTATCACTTTATCAAGAACCTTGATAATGTCAGAAATCACGAAAGCGCCTGATATTTCACTATTTTTCACAGTGGTTGTTACGTATATAATATTGCGACTGGTTACTTTAGTGTCTCCCACACCCAAGTGTATTATTCAGTCTAGAGACTCTTACAGACTAACAAATCAAGGAATCAAGGGTATTTAATACGCCCTAAAGTTCGTTCTTATCTCCTTAAACCTTTGTGGCTAAGAACCAGCAGATTAACTGGTCAGACTCGAGAATAACGGACGGAGGATTGAGCCTTCACCAGTCCTCCAGCCGACCCACTCTAAATGCGTTTATTACACAAGGACTCACCCTACCAAGAATAGTAGTTGCATATATATATATATATATATATATATATATATATATATATAATATATATATATATATATATATATATATATATATATATATATATGTCGAATAGAGAACTTTTGATTATTAGTTAATATAGAACTATATTATATATATAGACATAAATATTTATTATAATATATATATTTCAAAATCATTATAAATAACAAAAAAATGCATATATATCATATGTTTTTATATATTAAATATACTGTAAAAAATCTAAATATATATTTATTGGGTATAAAATAATATTGCTCTTTATAATGTGGAGAGGTATAGGTGTTAAAGTTTTCTAAAATTTGTTGGGCAAATGACAAAGTTTTTTACAGCTTAACCATTAAAACCAAGAAATTTACAATTAAAAAATAAGAATGAAATACAGTGATTTAATTATTTATTTCAAATGAATATTTTCAGTAATTGACAGTTTTACATTATTCGGCCAGGGGATAATAATTAATAATAATAATAATTATATATTTATATGTACATAAAATACATTGTAAACACATATTATATGAATATGACCTTTGCTAGTAATAAGTATAGTCACAGTGTTGGAGACGGATCATGAGAGCTGTTAACAGATAGTCAGTGTTGGAGACGGTCATGAGAGCTGTTAACAGGTTAATCATGTAAAGGTGTTGGACGCTAAAGCTGACCAGGAAGGTGTTGGCTACCACAGCCACAGTTCCACAGCTCTGACGTACCCTATCTTAAAACTCTGCAAGAAATTTACAATAAAAAAATAAAGAATATGAAATAACAGTGATTTGTAATTATCCTTATTTCAAATGTAAATATATATTTTTCAGTGTATATACAATGAGAGTGTATGTCTCTCAGTGTATGTCGGCCAGTGTGATAATAATAATAATAATAATGCACATTCCATATATTCTCCCATATGGTACCCCATAAATACACTTGTCAACACCCACACCCACCTGTACAGACACACGCACCACTCACTAAAATATAGCCTTACAAAGGCTACATCCTAGGGCATAATGTGATGTATCTGACACACCTCCCCCTCCCCTGATACTCCTATACCACGGAACCCCTACCTGGGGGGTACTGGAGCCCAGTACCCTCCAGGCAAAGGCTCCAACCATGGTCGTAATGCTAACAATCCCCCTACACTAATATTCAAATTTCCCGTCGGGAAATTCTTCCCCAGCGTACTACCATACAACAATTTATTCCTTAACTGCCAGGATACGACGTCTTACATCCATATCCCTTCCCCCCATCACCAAACACCCACATGGTATAAATATATCAAGAATAACATACGCCGCCGCTCTTGCTGTGGTATCAGTAACCCCACATATTCCAACTCAACGCCCTCAAAACGGTAATATTCCTATTACCTGTCACCAAATTTAACACACGAGCGAGCTATCTCCGCGACCCAACACACACAAGTACACTACATGAAATGTAAACTCATCTTTCCCACAAACTCTACAAGATCAAACCATACTACGGGCGGGGTTAGAACCCGCGATCAGAGTCATAAAACTCCAGACCGACGAGTTAGGCACTGGAGTTTTACGACCCTCTGATCGCGGGTTCTAACCCCGCCAGTGGTATGGTTTATTTGCAATCGTGTCATTACGATTTCGTAAGTCATGTTCGCAAACATACTTCAAATGCTCCCCCTCCCCAATCATACATAGGATATAATGATACTAAAGGCGCCAGTATATCTCCCAATCTTAAGCATTCTCGGCTCCCTCAACAATCTCTAAAATCTATGCCTGTAAATAAAATCAAATAACCCCAATCCTCCCCTTCTCACTGGCAGGATAATCACTTTTTTCCCCAACCATTCACACTTTGAAGACCATAAGAACCGAAAAATCCTACCATGAATCCGACGAATCACCATGCTGGTTAAAGGGCCCAAACAGATCTACGTTCACATGCGTAGTGCTCCAAAATAACAACATGGCGCTGAGTGTCCGGCGTAGAGTGAATACTGTCGGTGTTGAGCTGCTTCGTGGGGCGATTTTCCCCTCTCCAGTGCAGGTGTTGCTTCCGACGATCATAAGAGAGACGTACAGAATACAAGATGACGAGGTATATGGTGTAGCCCTGAATGGGGCCTATAGGATCTTTGTTAAGTTAAATTCGATGGCTGTGTACGAGTCGTTGGTGAAGAAATTCGAGCATGTGAGTCTAGATGCAACTCCAGCTGTAAGAGTGCGTCTCATAGACGTCTCTCGCCACTATACATGGGTGAAGTTGTGCAACGTCCCCTTCGAGGTTGACGAGGAGGACTTAAGGAACGTGTTTGAGGCATTTGGTACCGTGCATCTGGCAACCCAAGGCAAGTGGGCGGCAGGTGCATACATGGGACGTCTGGAGGGTACTTTCTCCCTCAAAATGACTCTGAGGCATCCGATCCCGTCCTACGTTGTGATGACAGAGTTTCGGACCCAAATTCTTGTGTCTTATCCTGGGCAGCGACATACGTGCAGGCTGTGGGGAGTACGATCACATGGCGGCGACGTGTGTGCAACAGAGGAGGGGGATGGTGCAGACTCGTGGAGCACCAGTTACAGGTGTGGATGCCATCGTGGAGAGGCCCAAGGGCAAACGAGGAGGTGGCCATCTGTGGAGTGATATTGTTGAGGATTCCATTGTGGTGAATGATGGGCGAGCCATAAGTTGTGTTGAGCCAGAAATGGCCACTTTGCCGGTGACAGGGGAGGAAGTGCTAGTCCAGCAGGAGGTGCTGGCACTGGAGGAAGAGCTGAACGAGGTTTTGAAAACTTTACCTCCATCTGGGGAGGCTGACGTCCTTGTCCGGGAGACCGTCCCTGAGTTGCAGGGAGAGAGTATCGGGACATGCAAAGGAAGGAAGGAGGAGATCAGCAGGCACAGAGAGGAGTCACCATGCTCTGTGCAACATGAAACAGTAGAGGTTGAAGTTCACTGTGAGGAATCATTGGAAGACGGCATGGCAGTGGAGGGTGTCACGAGGAAGAGAGCGGCGGCGTCAGACTCACATGACGTCCTGACACCAGCGCAGAGGATCTGGGAGGAAGGATGAATGTTCTCGAG